CACGACTATGAGTGCACCCCCCCCCCCGCATACATAGTTTTTCTCCCGCTGACCAGGTACTACAGTACATGGTATAATGTGCTACTCACCTGGGACGCCGAAAGTTACACGTGATAATCAGGTGGTACCTTCGGCGGCAACAGTCAGTCTTACATAACAAACAATACAAGATGCATGTATATGTAACATACAGCAGCATTGATTGTAAATGAAGCATGGGATAAAACCCGTCACGGGGGTGCGTGTCGCAATGCGTATCGCCGCCCACTGCGTGTGCGTGTGTCAAGATGTACAGCATACACACCCACTTGATTGAGTGGTACAAGTCAGCTCTGACTTGCATTGGCTCGTACACGTCATGTGCTAACATAACATTATTTCCATACAACAACAGCTACAACAGCCCAACCAAGCCGATGTTCGGCGTTGAAGGGCACAGACGGCGATAGCGCGCCAACCATGTCCCCTTCCGCTGAGGGTGATCAGGAACATCAGAGACACCTTCGGAGGCGTTGCCCGGAGCCCGTGTGGGGGCTGGCTCCGGAAGTACCCCATAGTAGGAGTCTCCTTTGGCTGCGCCGAAGCCTGACATACATACATGCCTGCTACGCAGAAAAAACGTCCAATTGTACCGTTTTTATTGCACCATGACCATCCATTCAATTCTAGCGGGCAGGCCCTGAGAATGAATGCAAGCAAACTCCATTCCCACAAGCGAGCAATCCGCACGTCACAAAACAAGTGCTCGTGCCACCTAGACCTAGATCACTACAAAAATATAGAGAAAATGGCAAGATGGATTCTAAAGAAGGGAGATAACAACAAACGCCGCCCTCCTTGAAACGAAGACACAAAAATATGAAACCAACCGTCCGTGTCGTGTATGTTGCTCAACAACCTATCTACACATACATGCATACCACGTGATATTGGACACGCTGCTAATGCTCCAGGTCCATTTCGAAGATTCGAGTATGCGTATGTTTCGTTTGCTTTCGAGCCAGGGTAAGCCTTGCTTGTTGGGATTGTGAACCAGCTCTCTCTGCCGGCCCGAAAAGATTGGACAAGGTCGCACTACAATACTACCGCCCCAGGAATAAACGAACGTGTACCCTCAAATACTACACACAGAAAACACGTGAAAATGTAAAAAATCGACATAAAAATTTAACGCGAGGCTCTGCAGCTGTGTAGCTACACACGGAGGAAACAACAGATTGCTAGAACACTTTTGATAAAACGGGAAAAAAAAAATTAAAAACGAGAAAAAAAACTCCACGCACGGAGGACACCCAACAAGATTGCCAACAGATTGCTAGAACACTGTTGATAGAAACGAAAAAGAAACAAGAAAAAACGAGAAAAAAAAAATTCCATGCTACATCAGTGGTTGTTCGCATGTGCTCACTCACACGCCCACACGTTTTCTGAGAAGAAAGAGTCATCAACCCTACCTACAGGAATGACGCTTCCCTTTTGATGTAGCTCTTTTTCATCGCTCCGTGTACGATATTCTGTTTTACATTGCAAGCGAGGGGTCATGTGCCGACAAAACTCCATACCCACGCTCCACCGTTCAGAGGCACGCCAAACCGAGACCAAACAAACCCCCGATCCTCATACCGGTTGATTCGAATGATACTCTCCCCATGACAAAACAATTCACACACAGAAAAGCGCTTCGTTACACCAGATTCATTCGTAGGTATTCCGCCCGAGGCCTTGCCACCGTAAGTCTTCCCCCATCAGCACAGCATAGCATATGACAGGGATGGCACGATACTCTTCACAGGTCACTCAAATGATACATAAAAGAAACGCACACTCCTGCTTCGAAGCAATAACCCCTTGTACGTGACGCCTACACGCGCCTCCATCAGCGCGCGGGCAGGCATGTTGGCGACCGCTGGCTCTGCGCGAAGCTCGCCCCTCCTCTCGGCGTCGGTCCGATGGGGATAACCGTACGCAGTGGGCACTCCGCACCGCATGTTTCTCCCCTAGCCGTGCCGCTTCCGCCGGCCCATCGATAACTCTACGGCCTTGACAGTGTGGCACAGCTATTATCCCGTAATTTGGCTACTTCGTAATTTGGCAAACACCAATGCAGCTCAAACCTGTTGCCGAATGGGTTCTCGTGCCTGGACCCTTCGCTTACGACCTCCCCCCCCCCCCCCCCCATGAATTTCACACCCAACGCCTCTCCCACGCACCGGACAGATGGAGGCGGCTGTCACCGCTCTACCCCGAGACTCTCCTCTTGTTATCGTAAATCCACCCGCTGTTAAACTGGCACAGCGAGCACACGAATAAAGTACCGAAAGAGCGGGAAAAATCCAACTAACCTCTCTACAAGCAAAACACATGTAGATTAGTACCCAAACACCAATCGGCAACAACGATTCCTCTCGTTCGGCTGCACCGTCCAAACTTGCCCCCTAGCCTGGACAAATTTACACACCAGTTACTCAACAGCCTCGGCACCCTGACCGTGCTCAAAAGGGCGACCTTTCGAGATGTCACATTCGTGCTACAATCAGCTTTGGAACAAACCGAGCACACCACGTCAAGGCGCGCTTTTTTACTTTCCACGGAACGAATGAAAAATAACTTCGCGAAGCTCAACCAGAGGGGCAGATCTCTCCGATACCCTTGGAGTCCGCAATACCAACAATGATGAATCATTTACATGATCACCGTACGATTATTTAATGGCTCCGGACAATGCGGCCCTCGGTTACGCGGGGCGCGAAAAATGCAAAACCCAAAAAGTCAAGAAGCAGAGTCTACACCGACAAACATGGCGTGGAAGTTTTGAGGACTTTGGACAATTCTACACCAACAAATCATGGCGTGGAAAGTCTTGGGGACTTTTTGGACAACGCGCGAAGCCGGTGAACATCGAACAACGAGAGAAAAACACGTCAACTTTCTTGGACGTGAGCGCGTTGGCAGGAGAGCTGAGGAAAAAATCGAAAACGACATGCTTCAAAAATACTGTACATAGGGAGTACATGCAACCTCAAGCTAAACATCTAGGGCAACCACCGCAGAAGGGAAAGACGGAGAAAAAACAAACAAAGTGCATTGTCTAGAAACCTCCTTCCGTGCCCCGGGTGGTATTTGACACAAGTACCGAATCATGTAGAGACTGGGGGCCACAACAGAAGGGACGAAAACTCACACACACTGAAACACCAATAAACCTGTAACACTAGGAATAGGTCCCCTTCTCTCCTGGGGTTGTCTGTTCGAATATGTCCTGATCCCGTTCGAACACAACTAGTTCGGAGACAAACCCGGGGGGATCCGACACCCTTCCCGTGCCACTCCTATCTGTATACAACACGCCTGATCGTCTCTATCGCTACTTGAGAAACCTCAACTTCTGACACCCAAAAAACACCTTCGATTTCTCTATGATAGGCTCGTCGAACACATGACAGACCCTGCCTTCAAACAAATCAAGCCTCTTAGACACCACCCTCGCGGTGACTTCGAAACCACCTCCTCAACGGCTCCAGACTTCTCTCCGACATTTTCCCGGGCTTCCGACCAAGTGGGGGGGGGTTACTCCCTGAGCGGCGTCAATGAGCGTTCCCCAGAGAAAATCGCAAGCGCCTCTGCTGTGTACTGCTAGCGCGGGACCTTCTCCTCCTCCTGCTGGAGCACGCTTCGCAACTGCAACAAAAAACGCGTTTGGCAGAGGGGGGGGGGGGGGGGTGTACTCATAGTCGTGCATGCCGTAGTCGTTTGACCATTGACCTCGCATCCCTACAAAGCCGGGACGGAGCACGCCGGGTTCTCATCGGACCAGGCTCTCACATCACCAAGCGCGAAGCGCCGTGAGGTATTTGGCGAGTCGCATGAAGGGTGAGCTGCATCCTGCTAAGGGTGTTCGGCATCTTGTGCTTACTTCCTTGCGTACGGATGACAGCTGCGTATGACTTAAAATTTATTTTCTGGTGTTTTCACTTCCAGAGACAGTTGTAAGCACTGTGTAACTGCCTCGAGGATGCTTGACCATTTTAACACAACGTGGTGCGATCATCCCCCGTTGCGCGGAGTGAGGGTTCTCGACCCCGCACAACATGATCTACTCGACCACCATTATGGTTACCGCCAAAAAAAAAATACGAGGAAAAAAAAAAAAACGGTAACCTGGTTGCCGAGTTCACGAAGTGAATTGGCTTATTTTACAACGTCGTTGCCAAGCGACGAAAACCCAATCCCGATGGCAAACACCGAGGCGTTTGGCAGAGGGGGGGGGACAAAAAAGAGGGGAGGAATGAGTAACCGAGCGCCAAGACGGGAAAAAAAAGAACCGCCCAAGCCGAGCCCACACTGCCCGCGTGCGAGGCAGCTCAATAAAAAAACACAGAGGTGGGTTTGTCTTGAGAACAAACGAACACACAAGGGGCAGAGAAACGTCTCAACTACAAACAGTACGTATCGTGACGTTTGAGATTGTTTGTTGGTGTCGCTTTTCGTGTGTTGTCATATGGTGCGCTCGAAACTTGGAACTGCGGAGGAATAACAAGCGCGACGTGCGTCGAAACTTCAACATCAAGCAACGCCACAGCGACACCAACTACGGGGAGTAACGAGAGCATTTCAGGCACAACATTGTTCCTCGAACCAAGTATGGTATCAACAGCACATTCAGGAGTTTCAAACCACACTGTTTGATGCCAAAAGCAACATACGTACGCGCGGACGAAACGACGTTCCCCCAGGTGACAAAAGATATCGCACCGCCACTCCTTCTGCTGTGCAGCACTCGAGCTTTCGAATATCGATCCGGGGGGTGTGATTTCTTACGTCACCTACGGTACTTCGAGCGACGGCAGCCAGCGAATGGGACTACAAACCACACGTTCGAAGTGGTTATCAATTCTAACGTAGTACGTACCACGTGTTGCTCGGCCACGCTGTTGGTTTGCCATTCGTTCCGCCTCTGCCTTTCAAGGCGCAAATGCTTCTGCCGCTGTTGCTCCTTCGTCAAAGTCTGACGCAATAACGCAGAGGACGCGCGAGAAGAAGAGCGAAAGAACGCGGCGCCGAGGTTTCGAACGAAAACGGAACAATCGGCGACCGGTTCAATTTCCCCGCACGGGAGGAAAACAAGAGAGTGAAGCTCGACCAAACAAGCACGAAGGCGCGGGACCACAAGACGAAACGGCTTGCAGGCGTGCAAATCACGTGTTCTTGCCATTTATTTATGTGATAATGTGTTCGGAACCGAAACTACACAGTGCAACCAGGATACACAAAAAGAAAAAGGAAACACCTGGCAAAAAACGCTTTGCTACAGGGTGGCGGCGGCGGCGGGCGGGCGGGGGGAGTTCGTTTCTCGCGTGCGGAGAAAAGAGGCTAGGGACACGGAAAGGCGTTCGAAGACGTCCGCCCCAACCAAGGGGCAGGGACATGATTCTGTTCTGGTGTTGGACAGAAAAACAGCTCTCTCGCTCTCTTGTCTTCTTGTCCCCCGCAGGGCCGAGCCGGACGGCATTTACCAGGTTGCGGGGCACTCAAAGTCACCTTGCCGTCTTCGCCACGACAATAAAAAAAGCACCGCCAGCTGCTGCTGTTCTTTTCTTTCTTTTTCCGTTTCAGTCACCTACATACCTCGCCACACGAGCATTACCAGCAGCCGCCGCCGCTGTTGCTTTTCTTGCAACCACCTACTGCATACGACACAAGATAACACACCCCCTGGACCGATTTTCAAAGCTCGATTACTCAAGAGCAGAAAGAAGTCACCGCGCCGAAACCGGGGGCGTTGAAGCCGTCTCGGTCGAGAGCATTCCGAAAACGTATAATCGTTTCGTTTATGCATGTTCTTCTTCGTGGCGAAAATCGAGCTTGGACAATCGGTCCAGGGTGTGTGTTATCTTGTGTCGTATACGGTACCTCACCACCACACAAAAAAAAAAAAATCAGATCGTGCTTTGAGACCAGTGCTGCGCTTGTCCCTCACCCACGCACCTTATCGATGGGCAGCGGCTGTGGGTGGTCCGCCGCAATCTTTTCCCAAACAACCCCCATCCCCTTCTTGAGCCCCCCGAAGAGACCTCGACGTCGCCGCTCGCTGCCCGTACTGTCCTGCTCCGTTTCGGTATCATTGTCGTTGTTACAGGCAGGGATCAACAGAGTTCCAGTTGTGGAAAAATTCGAGGACGACGACCAGCAGATCGTGATACCGAGCTACAACTCATACTCATGTGAGAAGCAACGCTGAACACCTTGAATAGGGCGGGCTGCTAATGCTGCTGCTGCTCTTAATGCTCTCGTTGCATAATGGGCTTAGCCAACCCAACCATGTGTTGGACTGATGAAGACGGGGCGAGAAGCCTCGCCGAGGTTTTCCGAGACAAACCACAAACGTTTTACCGAAAAAAGCATATTGGACCCCATCCGGCGGGGGACCGCTGCAGCATGGCGCTCGCCACCCTGCTACGTATGTACGTGAGTGCAGTTCCACCACCTGCTTTCCTCGTTGGGTATGCTTTAAGGGCGAGGAACTTACGTAACGCCAGCCTACCACGGTCTGCTTAAGTGTCTCTAACGCCAAGCCGCCCCCATCCTTCCAGCTTCCATCGCCGATCCATTCTCTGCCCCGAAACAATTCCCCCACAACCCAAAGCTTTTATCGCAGGAGCCCTGCCATCTCGCTCGCCCCGGGCGCGCGCACCTGTGGGCGGTAAGACTTGCTTCTGCCACTCCCACCGGTGTCAGCGAGGCTGCTGCCGGACCGGCAGCTGTCGGCCAGCCCACCAATCTCGCGGTGGCTGCCGCCGCTGCTGCTGATGCTGCCACCGCCTAGCCCGGAACGGGCGGCGGCGCCGGCGAGGTCGATACCGTCGACGATGTTTTCCGCCCGGAGCTTCCGCGCCCGGAGGCTCTGTGCCCTCCAGGAGCAGCTGTTGAGAGACCGGCTGCTGCCGGGGCGGGAGCCGTCCTCGTCGGCGAAGGCGCTGCCGTTGGCGCTCAAGCCGCCGCCGGAGGCGCCGCGCTTCCCCCCCGGCCCGGCCGAGCACCCCGACGACGCGCTGAAGGCGAGGCTGTCGGCGGAGGCCTGCAGCAGCTGTCGCCGGAGCGAAGGGCGAGAGAGAGAGAGAGAGAGAGAGAGAGAGAGAGAGAGAGAGAGGTACAATATCGGTGGTGGCCAAGGGCATCTAGGCCGGAGGTAACAAAACCTGTGGTTTGTATATGCACGGAAGCAATATTGCCAACAGGAGTCAATCAACGGCCGGCGTGGCCGACCAGCGGGAGCGGGAGGTTGAGATAGGGGGTTTGCAGCCCGGCAGCACCGGCAGCACCTCGCCAAAGACGGAGAGGCAGAAGCAAAGGGGGGCAGAGAGGCGATACGCCGGCGGGGGGAAACTAATCGCGGCCGTCAGCCTGCCGGAGTCCCGAAAGGGGGCGAGAACGCTGCTTCTCCGCAAGGATGGAGCAGTGCAACCCTGCTGCGAAGGTGCCCCAGCAGATAAAACTCCAACCAATCGTCAAGAGATTCAGCGTCTACAACAGCTGCTACTGCCACTGCTACTGCGGCCGCTGTTGTTGCTGTTGCTGTTGCTGCTGTTGCTGCTGCTGCTGAGGAGAGTGCGAACGATCAGGTGGCGCGAGATGCAGCTTCTGGAAGGCTCTACTACGGCCGACGGAAGGCGATCTTTTCGGCATCACGAAAGCAACAACGAAGTTGCCAAACAGAAAATAGAGCCTCAGCACGCCTCTCTTGCCTCGTTATTGACACTTTCCCAACGAGAGACCTAACCAACCAAGGGGCGAGGCGCCGACGCCGATCACATTTCCACAATCGAACGACTCGTATGCATGTCTCACAGCCTGTACAACAAAATCGTCAACTACTGTTTGCTTGTTGCCGCTTGAGGTCGACACTCAAAGCAAGGAGTCACAAAACTTTTACAAGAAGACGGGAACACGACGAAGGCGAGGAGCGAGAATGGAACCAGTCGCCCATCGCTGCACACCTACCTCCTGCCCCCCCTGGCTCCCCGGGCGCCGATCCCCTGCCCCCTCCCTCCTCGTACCAGCTGCGCCCCCCCCGCTCGCGCCGCGAGAAGCGCAGCACTGGCATTCTCGTGCCGCTCCCCCCTCCGCTCCCACTCTTTGCGTCGCTGCTCCCGCCCAGGCCCCTGCTCCCGCTGCTGCCCCCGCCCCTTCCGCTCCCGGCTCAGCTGCAGCTGTGGCCGCGAAGACGCTAGGCTGCGGCTGCTTCCTAGGCGTGTGGAAGTCGCGCGTCGAGAGCCGCAGGAGCCGCCCGTCCTTCCCCATGGCAACCTTGTGGCTGTCCTCGGCGCCGATGTCGTCGCCGTCAACCAAGATGCCTTTGCCGCTGACGGCGGGGGCCGTCGCCAAAGCCACCGGCGGCCGGGGTGCGGCGGGCGCGCGCTTGCCGCGGGCTGCCGCTCCTCGGCCGGAGGAGGCCTTGGTTGAACCCGCGACGGTAGCGGCGTCCCCGTCCTCCGCGGTCACCGCCGCCGCCGCCGCCGCCGCCGCCGCCGCCGCTGGATGTTTTCTCGCGCGCGCTTTTTTCCGACGGTGCTTTGACCGAAGAGCTTGGGGTTCGCGAGGCGTGCTTGATTTCTCCCCTTCCTGTTGCGGCCGCCAAATTGTATTGGAGGGCGGAGGGGGGGGGGGGGGGAGCCCTTTAGAACGGGGTTTAGCGCGGGGAGCCTCGAAGGTTTGCAACTAAGCTGACATGCACACACCATGGTTCTTGGTCAGTGCCTGATTTCGCAAGCAAGAGATTAGGAGTCATACACGTTTGGCTTTTACTGCACTAAATAGTACTTCGAAGCAAAACATAGTATGCATACAACAGTTTTTTTGCAGCGCGAGAAGACTATCGCTCATGTCTCCCGAAGCGACAAGCAGACTAGCCAAGGGCTAGCTGACCAAAAGAATGTTTCATTCTCAACATCCCAGCACCTGAACCTGTTTGCTCTCCAATCTACCACACCCATCATGTTGATCGGCAGCGATACACCCCCGCCCCCGGTAATGCCACACACCACGGTTTTTAAGCCGTCTCCAGCTCGTTTCACTTGGTGCCCAGGTATTTGCGCAAATCACACTTACTTGCGCAAATATGTACTTTAGCAAATCATCTCACTCCACCCTCAAAGGCCGACGGCAGAGACGATATGTAGCCCCTCGCGTCCGCAGCCCTTGCAGGACATTTGTAATTAATTTTTTTTTTTGTCCCATTTTGTCTATTAGGCGTTGGTCCTCAGACCTTTCGGTACAGTTTTTGACGGGCAACAGCCCGCGTCAGGCAAGGACTTGTACGTACACGGATGTACGGCCACACAGGAGTTTCTTCTTCGTTTCGCCTACTTCCGTCTGCGGTATGCAGATTCAAAACTACTTGTGTAAATTTATATTTGTAAGAGAAATAAATAGTCTACGAGTAAATAACACATCGGGTTAACCTACAAATAAAATATATCAGCGCGAATACGTAGACTATAGCCAACGCAACACTCTGTTAGTAGACCGCTGTCGTCGATTAATCCTCCCAATAAGATGTCAAAGATGCGACATCCGACATTATCGTAAGATATCTGCAAAAGGCACCAAAGAGTGCTGTGTGGAAATTTGCTGGGGCGTCAGGGCAGTCTAATCCCTACCTATTCCTCAGGATAGGATACTCGCAGAGGGGGGGGCAATTTGTCATCCGAGTAGATACGTAGATTCGCTATTTACTGGTCGTATGGATATGTGCCAGACTCTCTTGGGAACCCTCAAGTCAGCCAGGATCAGAAAACGGGTATGTTTATAGCACGTTGTAGCACGCCCAAGACAGCAACTGGTATATATACCTAAACCGCCCAAAGTTGTGAGTGCAAACGTCGTGTTACTAGTATTCTAGCACATGATTAGCTTCCCATGTAGCTGCAACAAGAAGAACAAATTTATTGCGGAACACAATATTTTCTCGGTCCCCACGGGAAACGGACTATTGTAGACATGCGCACAGGCACACGCGGGAAAACCCACAGTTTTTCGCGCACCCTTGACTATCAAGAACGAACATACATGCGTTGCAAGAGCGAACGCCCATGCTATGTAGTTCAGCACTAAGGAGCAACAACCCGTGGCCAGCGTACTGTTGAGAAATCGTTGTATAGGGTGTAGAGCATGTAGCATAGGGAGGGGATCGGCTCCGCGGCGGAACAAAACGAAGAGCGTACCGGATTCCGACGGACTGACGGGAGGATAGACACCCCGTTGCTGAGAAGAGTCCGCAGTACGTTTACAGACGTCACACAGAAGGAAATGCTTCCAATCGAAAGGGGCGTGCTGTGTGCTGAAGGCTTAGCGAACGAGTTGTGGATACTGCTGTAGTCCGTGGCGCGATTCCATCCATCCGTGATTGATCTTTTGTTGGCGTGAATTCTCAAAACGTTTCACGAAGGCCTTCGATGAACGCCTTTGTATTCTGACAGTGGTTCGGCATGCAGGCCCGCTCACTCGCAACTCGCATCCACGCGCACGCCATCCGCATGAACTTTACGCCAACAAGAATTATATGTAACATATAACGGGGTGGAGAGATACACGACATCAGAGGAGCACGGCGGGCGTGTGCGCCTCGCCGTCATGGTACCGACGTGTGTGGGTGGATTCGAACATTTTCAGTGTTTTGCTGGATGCAGGGTGGTAACAAACAATGGTTGGTTGTTGGCGCCAACAACAGCAGGCAAACCGCGTTGATGTTGTTTTTGTTGTTGTTGTTGTTATTGTTGTTGTTAACAATTGTCTTCACACATTGATGGTGATGATGTGTTGGACGACATGGGGCTGCTCTACAGAAGAGAGAAGACAAATATTAAAATTCCTTAGTCGCGCCCCTCGGCAACGAGAGGGTACGCAGCTCTAGAGATGAGCAAGAGGACAAGAGCTAGGCTGCTGCGGCAGCCACCCCACGGCCTTAGCTATTTGGATGGTTTTGGGGGACGGGGAGCAGCGGGCCGCCTCCTCCTCATAAATTCCACCAGGAAAAAGCTGTTGAAAATGCAACTGCTCTGCAGCAGTAAAAAGGTGTATACAAATACGTGTATACGTACAAAATAGTTTTTCTGTCGTCGGAAACTTGTGTGCTCCGCCAAGATGATGAATGATTTTTCTCACACGACCGGCGCGCACCTGCTCCCACCCTGAACCCAGAGCCTGCTGGTCGACCCATGCCGCCAGGGGTGTCTCCTGCTGCTGCAGCGGCTGCCCCTCGCCCTCGCCCTCGCCCTCGCCGATCAGGAGGCCCACCGATGAGTTGGAGATCCACGCAGTGTCCGTGCTCTTGGGGGACGAGTTGCTCTGGCCGTCTTTAGCATGCTCGTTGTGGTGTTTGGGGATGTCTCCCAACCAGAAGCTGCTTGACGGGTCTTCTTCTTCGAGCGGTCCCCCACCTCCTTCCACGGTTGCGATGCTGCTCGTTGTGCTGCCGCTGCTGGACGAGCTCCAGTCGTCGGAAGACAACACGGCCAAGTCGGCGCTTTGAACCCTGGAAAGCTTGGACATGCTCCTTGGCTTTTCTTTGATGTGCCCGAAGTCTTGCCGCTAGCCCGTCCGCCTCTCTCTCTCCCCTCCCGCCAGCAAACCACGTCCTCGGCACTGATCGTGACGACCGGAACGTGCTTTTGCAGAGAGAGAGCACGCGCGTGGATCCCCGCAAAGAGCTAGATCAAAGAGAACATCCGGCGCCCTGCCCTTGTCGTAATGCACAAGTTGTGAAGACCAACACCAGCATCGGCAAGAGCCGCGGCAAGGTACCCAGCGACCTTCTT